TCCTGTGGTGAGGGAAGGACCTCGCCTGGTAATGTCTCAATAACAGTGGATTGGACACACTGGTGTGGCCTAACGTGGTCTGTTCGATAAGAGAACGTCAGTTCGCAATAACAGCCTTTACCAGCAGCACCGCAGGGAACCCTCTTGGCCATTGTTTTGGAGCAGCATGTTCCCTTCTAAACACCTAGTGGTTTTTCTCTGTCTCCTCCTCTCTGTCTCTTGTCTGGGGTGGGTTTTCCCTCCGTCAGCACTTCCTCAGCATAAACCGTTACAGTCTTGTTTCTATGGCCACAGTGTGTGGTTCGTTGAACCTGGTGAAACTCCCCTAGGCGTTTCCCTGGTCAGGAGGCCTCAGATTTGCATGTACCTCATTACAACCATAAAGTAACAACAGTTAACTGACTTCCCAGGAATGAACTCACCCTGTAAACGTTTGAGATAATCTGCTGAGATGAGATGAGGAGAGATAAATGGTAAAGTTGCATGCAGCTAGACTTTTGACATAGCTTGATCTACATTGTAGCTTATTTTGGCCCACCAAGACAAGAAAAGTGTTATGCAGTGACCATCCATAGGTTAAAACATAAAATAGCTTTTTTTTTTGGCATTTTAATATATATATATATACGATATCGTCTGTAAGCGCATGCTCGTCTGCTGCTTCAAATTCTCGAGCTCGTGATAGCAGGATCCGATTCTGATTGGCTGTCAATGTTTGTATCAGCTGAAAAAAAATTTGTTCTGAAAGGGATTCCAACGTTATTGCTTCTCTGTGCCTTTATCGTTATAGCTGTGGTGTTATGTGTGCGTGTCTGTCCTTGTGTGAATGCTGCCGCTATTAGGAGGAAATTAAGGGCAAAGAGTGCAGTTTAGACGCATTTACTAAGTGTACGCGTTTCTGAGTGAGCTTAATTACCTTGTGTTTGCACACTTAAAAAATGTCTCGGTGGGGAACAGTATGAACCCAAACTGTTTTTGGAAGCCGATTTGCATATTAATGTCGTGTAAGAGCATGCGTGTGCATCCAGATGCTGGGTTTCGTGTGACTTTGGCATAGACTGTTACAGTTCTGCAGATTTCCTGCCGTGTTATGTAATCCGAGGGCATTGGGTTTTTTCCTGCACTTTTTTTCCCCCCCTCCTTGAGCAGCGCAGCTCCTCTCTTCCAAAACTTCCTGTTTTCTCAGTGGCCCACTGAACCCTTTCCCAGAGACAGGATGAGAGGCGCTCAGCTGGAAGATCCACAGTGACTCACAGAGAGCTGGTTTTCCCCCAATTCCCCGGAGTATTACTCGGCCTTTCTGCAAGTATTAAAAATAATTTGCATCATAAACACTTAGGATATCATAACCGGAATATGCCCTGTGCTTTGTATTCTGGTCTTGTCTTTTTTGTAATGTAGTGCTGAGGTGAGCATCACTATTTTTATTCCTCAGATTTAGGGTTACACAGTGTCCTCCTATTCAGGCTTTTAAATTAACCATGCATTTTATTATCAGTATGAGACATTTGTGACCCTGGAGCACAAAACCAGTCATAAGTAGCGCGGGTATATTTGTAGCTATAGCCAAAAATACATTGTATGGGTCAAAATGATCAATTTTTCTTTTATGCCAAAAATCATTAGGATATTAAGTAAAGATCTTATTCCATGGAGATATTTTGTACATTTCCTACTGTAAATATATCAAAACTTAATTTTTGATTAGTAATATGCATTGTTAAGAACTTGGACAACTTTAAATGAGATTTTTTTTTGCACCCTCAGATTCCAGATTTTCAAGTAGTTGTATCTCGGCCAAATATTCTCCTATCCTAACAAACCATACATCAATGGAAAGCTTATTTATTCAGATGATGTATAAATCTCAATTTCAAAAAAGTGACCTTTATGACTGGTTTTGTGGTCCAGGGTCACATTTGGTCAATAGCATCATCTATAAAAATAAAGGTTCTTTATTGGAATTTACAGTTCCATGAAGAACCTTTAACATCAGTGGAACTTTCCATTCTGCAAAAGGTTCTTTATAGATTATTGAAATCTTCATACTAAGAAAAAAAAGTGTTCTTTTAAGAACTGTCGACTGAGTGGCTCTTTGAGGAGACAAAAATGGTTCTTCTTTGGCATCACTGCAAAAACCCCTTTTGGAACTTTATAGAGTGTATAAACATTTAATAGGACAGAGCTGAAGTGTGTGTGTGTGTGTTGAATGTGGACTAGATGAGGTAAGGCAGGTGTGGCGGTTTGTCTGGTTGTGATTGTTGGCCCTGCGGCTAGAAAGTGTGGGAAAGAGAGCTGAAGGAATGGCAGCACTCCTCTATGCCCAGTCACATTCACTTCATACCACAACACTGTTAAGTCATTCCTACTACGCAGTTTGTTTGCAGTTCCCAATCGTATATGTATTTTTTATAGCCTACTAAATGAAAAGTATATGAGTTTTCTCTCATCTCAGTGGTTTAATTGTAGCACTTTGGTTTGAATGCTTGTTTCCATGTCTCACAGGTGTTATGCAGTTAATAAAAAAACTGGTCCACACCAGTTATACTTTTTCTTTTTTTTTTCTGTGAAACACAAAAAGAGAAATTTCCGAGGTTTTATTTTCCATATAGCATAAGTAAATGGTGAGAATGACTGTCAAAGAGGATTTTCTGTCAACAACAGTTAAAATTAGTCTGTTCTGAATATCATGTCACCAGGAGACTCGTGATCAAGAATCAAATCAAGAATGTCATATGGATGACTTTTATAATACGTTTGTAGTGTTTTTGTTTTTAGTCACCATCCACTTTTATTCTTCACACTTTCATTCTTCAAAGCGTCATTTGTGTTCTGCTGAAAAGGTTTGTAATAACATTAGAATAAAGCCTGGTTCACATCAAGAATGATATTTATGAATATAACTATTAGTTTCCAAACCAACACATAATAATGTACTGTTTATAATATGCGCACGCTGAATATTATATGTATGATGCTTCAGATGCTCAAGTTCTTTGAAGCAGGATGAATTCTGATAGGCTATCAATGTTTTTATTGTTCATAAGCCTAAAAAAAGTGATCACAAGCGAGTAAAAAGAAGACTTTTTGCGAGTGTGGATCATAGTTTCATATAGAAAGTGATTACAATGAAATAATTTCCTTTGTTATCATTATAGTGGTGTGGACTTTACAATTCCTTTAAATTTAGAATAATTTTTAAAACTATAGACATGATGTAGCTCTGCCCCTTTTCAGCATTGCGCTCATTGTCTTCTGTCTTCCGTTTTTATTTCCACAGCGTGATGGTACGGTTGTGTGAATTTATGAACCACTCGTTTTAAAATCTTCCCGGTCTACTCTGACAGTTATGACATTCGCTTCGAACATTACAATGTTTAAGATAATTTTCCGTTAACTCTACAATATGTAAATCTACTTCACCAGCTTATTACTCCTCAACAGTGATTCTAAAGATGGCTGCGGACTTGTATCTCCAACACTAAAGATATAGACCTTATGCATCATATTTATCATCCTTGGTGTGGATGGACGTTAAATAATGACAGAAATTTCATTTTGGGTGAACAATCCCTTTAACAGATAACACCAGGGTGTATTTCTTTCTTTTAAATGTAATTCCTGTGTTCTCAATATCACTTTCTATGTTTGCCTTTCATCAAATCCTGTTAACAAAAGCCAAGTAAAAATTCCAATCTTTTTTCAATAGGTGAATTAATTTTAATGATAATTTATAAAACTTTAAACACAAGCTGACTGTGAGCTGCAAGGTTGTAATCAGTGATATATTCTATATCATTAAAGGTTTAAATATTAATTTTAAAAATTATATGTAAAAGCATACATATAAAAATATAATATTAATTACAATTGAAACATTTACACATTTATAAAAATGATATATAATTTCAGTATGTGTAAAAGTTAAGTATGTATAGTAAAATACATTACTTAGCCTACAGCCTATATTTTGCATAACTAGTGGAGTTGTTATTATAAATATTTTATATTATATTTAAGTATTTTATATGTACGATGTTCTCATTATTTAAATATTAAAACACTTTAATATATTTAACTTTATGTAATTTTGAATGGAAGTAACAATTCCTTTTTTTCAGTAGGTGAATTGATTTGAGCAATGATTTATAAACCTTTAAACACAGACTGACTACAAGGTTGTAGCCGGTGATATATTCAAAAGTTGAAACCCGTCAGCCAGCATTATTAACCTATTTTTTTTTTTAAACCATCATGTTTAACAGCAGTTATTCTGCAGAGAATCTCCACCAATCAACTCCGTTTCATGCTGTTGTGTAAATGGGATATATTTAAAAACTGAGCTTGAGTAGATCATATTTCTGAAAGTACCATTTTATAGAAGCACTTCCTTAAATTACAACACATCCACATTTGTAATAAGTTACACAGCTCAAACGGCACTGCTAGCATAACTGGAATGACTCGTTTATGAAAGACTGCGCGCGCGCACAGACTCAATCCGGCAAAAATCCCGCCAAAAAGCTCTCAGCTGTGCGGATACACGGTGTATTGCAGAAATAGTTGAGAGAAAAACAGTTTTTCACAGCCTTGAGATTGAAGATATCACAGTTTGTTCTGTCTTTGTTTACCTGAACAGTTTTTCCTCACCGGCTATGTTTAGTTTTGTCAATATGTGGGTCAATATGCAGTAAAAGGCACTTGTGTGTGTGTGTGTGTGGCGTCCGTCTTAAATAACAGCTCTGCAGTCTCTTTTGTGCCCCGTCTTATTCTCCTCCTCTCTTTTAAAATAACCTTTTATTTTTCACCCTGTTTCGCGCCAAAACCAGGGACAGAACAATGTGGACCTTGAACATTTCCCTTTAACCCCTACAGCGCTGTGTGCGAGTTTCTAATATGTGTGGCATTACTGTCTACTGTACGAGTCTTTATATGGGTGTGTTTGTTCAACACTATCTCCTTCCTCAAGCCGTGTATGTTGGTGCCTGTGTGTTTTCTAGATCAAGGCTGAATGTTTTCACTGGTTGCCTGGGTACAGCGGGGCCGTTGGCGCGGGAGACGGCGATGGGCGTGGCCAGAGCCGGTCTGCTGCAGTTTAGCGCGCTCGCTTTCCCGCCATGAGGGAGGGGCTTTGGCACAAAGACAGAGCGCAGAGAGGAGGATTTCCCGCCAAATGTAATGTAAATAAGCCCGGGTGGGAGGGGCCTTCAGCCGTTTGCGGCACGGTTAACTCTTTCAGTGCTGGAACGAAGCCTATAACCCCTCAACTCATAAAGATGACTTCCATAAGCACACCGTCTCGCCTTATGTTCCATGTTATGTAACTTATGAAACTCAAGCTCTCAAAGCATGCATGTATGTGTCTGTGAACTTCTAATATAAGTAACAAAGAACTTAATGTGATATTAAAGACTTTACCCTGTCTGGAAATGTATTCTTATTTCTGGGCTTACATGTAAGGGTGTTATAATGGTCTTTATTGCACATTAGTGCAGGAAATTAGCATGCAGAGCTCTTAAGGTTTTGATCTGAATGATCTTTCCATTACTCTTAAATAGATTTCTGAAGTTAAGGTTATGTGAATGTTTTGTGTTGGCCCTGAGAGAGACTGTCTTTGTTGTAGACTTCTCAAAGTTTTGCAGCGTTACCTCGGGGAGAGCCTCGTCTTTTATGTTTGCAGCACGAGTTCGTGCTTTAACACTAGAATGAGATCTGAACAGTCACAGTTGCACAGGAATTAAAGGAACGTTTCACCCAAAACTGAACATTTTCAAGTAACTTACTTTTCATAGAATTCAAAAGGAGATTTTTTTTAAGAACCGGCAGACTGGTTTTTATAGACTGCTTTTTTCCATAAATAATGAATGTAAGTTGTGAATATGACAATTCATGATTTAAAAAAAAAAAGTGTGTATGTACTGTATATATGTGTGTGTGTGAAACGAGGCTTATCAGCAATGCAACTAAAAATGTTTGTAATTTTTTTAATGCTAAAAAATTATGCGTACATCAAATTAAACACTGTTTTCATAAAAATATTTTATTATTATATATTATAATAACTTATAATATTATATTATTATAAGTATTTTACTTTATATATACTT